GGCCTGAGCACACTTGGGATGGTATCTAGGTGTGCCTCTCACTGGGGCCGCTATGTAGCTATTGTCTGGGATGGACTTTGATTGGGGGCTGTGCACTCTAGTTCCTGTTGTCTTCACAGGCTCTGGTTAGAGTCTCCTCACACTTATCAATGGTATCTGGCAAGCCTCCGGCTATTGCTTGTGTGCCTGTACAGCTCTTCTCCAGGTGGGTCCCTGGCCATGGCCAATGGTATGGTGAGCCTCTGGCTGAAGCTTGTGTGCCCATGCAGCCCCTTTCTGGGCAGCCCTTTGGCTTGGGTGGGTGTACCCGAGCCTCTGGGATAGGTGCAGAGCAGTGGCTGGGATCTGCCCACAGCCACACTGGTCTGGGCCACACAGCTGCTCCCAGGGATCTGCCCGCACTTAGGGATGGAATGGAGGGCCTGTGGTGGGAGCCCACATGCCCTTGTAGCTCCTCTATGGGTAGGCTCTGTTATTACATTGTTAAACTATGAACTCCTGGATGACAGTGGCTATGCATTTCTTATTTTTGCTGCTGAGACACTAACAATGTGACCTTAGGATCATGCAAGGCATTTGATTAATGCTTGTTGAGTGAATGAAAAGGCTTTTAAAAAAGACATTCGTCATCTGTCTTCTGGACTGCAATTTGTGTGGGATGGTTTCAGTTGGGTCAAACACACGATATTACATTTGATTGTCATGACAATTTTAGGACCCAGCTAATGTGACTATTTCCACTTGAATAAGAGAAGGGCAGATGCCAGACAATTTGCCCAAATGCAACGCCTGGTTTGGAAGATTCCAGGGCGGATGCTCTTAATTGCTGCTCGTCTGTAGGTGCACATGCCTGTGTGGTGCTGTTCCACTGACTGTTGTCCGGGTGACTCATTTGGGGGTCTGGATGCCAATTTGAACATTCCCAGCATCTCTGTTTAGCTGGTAATAGGAGCTCGGCTCATTCTGCTTATGGCAGAGAATGCAAAAACATGTATTTTTCCCCCATAAATAAATCTGAAAGCAAATATTGGAATCTATAAATTCTCTGTTGTTTAGAAAAATGCAAGAGGAAGCTATTGAGTATTTTCCAATCATCCCATCCTTCCCAGCAGTGCCAGATGGGATGAGGACAGGAAGTGAATCCTGAGTGGCTACTGTGCGTCAGACACTGTGGAGTGTGCTAAGAGATCAAGGCCTCACTCCAGCACTGCATGCTCTGAACTCCCTTTCCTTGCTGCCCCTTCCTTCATAGAGTTGACCCTTCCCTGCTTCACATCCCTGCTGCAGCACCGACAGTGCATCCTTGAAGCTGTGTTGTGTGTCTTGGTGTGTATTTCTGTTCTTCCTCTATACCTGCCTGCCCAAAATGGTACCCATCAGCCACAGGTGTGACTGAGTCTTTGGAATGTGTTCAGTCCAAATGAAGCGGTGCTGTATCAGACACACCCCACAGACTTCATATGAGAACTAGGATCTAAATTATCTCATTTTTATTTTGAGTCTATGTCAAGACGGTAACATTCTTTATGCATTGTGCTAAATAAAATATATTAAAATTAAATTTTGCAGGTCCAGTGGTACACATATGCAGTTCCAGCACTGTAGGAGGCTGAGGCAGGAGGACTGAAAGTTGGAGTCCAGCCTTGGCAGCTTAGCAACTTGATGAGACCCTTTCTGAACATAAAAAATAAAAAAAGGGCTGGGATGTATCTTCATGCAAAGGCCCTGGGCCCAATCCCCAATAGCACCAAAAACAAACAAGTAAAATTCTTTGTTTCTTCTTACTTGTTTAATGTGATGACTAGGAAATTGAAACTTGTTTGTGGCTCACATTACATTTCTATGGACTGTCACAGTTCTATATTCTGAATTTCTTGAGGAAGGCTATTATTTTCTTCTAGGAGGCAGAACAGAGTCCTGTACCCAGTCAATCTTCATTAAGGGTGGAGTGAACATGTCGTATTTTATAATGTAGTACTCCAATGAAGACGAGACCTGAAATTTATCAGGAAGATCCCAGTGAAATAATATATCCTGGTCTGATGGTGAAAAAATCTGTTTTTTCTAGTACTGGGAATTGAATCCAGGGACTTTGCATTGAGTTACATCCCCAGCACCCCCCTTTTAAAAATTTGAGACAGGGTCTTACTAAGTCACTATGTTGCCTAGGCTGGCTCAAACTCACAGCCCTCCTGCCTTGGCCTCTCAGAGTGCTGGGATTATAGGCATGTGTCACTATGCTCAGCTAGATGGTGAACATTCAGAGGGTCTCCTCTGCATGGAAACTCAATCTTCAAGTAAAGAGACCAATGAACAGAACAGAAAAGCCAACAGAGGGGTGGTCTGAGCTATGGAACAGCTGGAGTCGGCTGTGGGGAATTGGTAGCAAGGCTGGGATACAGTGTGGAGAAATCCTCCGAAACTTCTCCCTGGTGTGAGAATAATGGTGATTCCCTTAGGCAAGTGAGCTGCAGTGGGAGCTGTGGCATCTCCTCCATACCCCCTCCTGCCCTTACAAACCAATGGCTTGTGGCTCTACCTGAGGCTGCTGTCTGGCCACAGCAAGGTGCTTGGTTCATAACAGGGCAAGGTAGGAGTGGCGGAGAATTAGCACCCTGGCTGGAAGTGGTCCTTACCAAGGATGCTTGGGGACTGATGGGTGAGCATGACAGCTTTTCGCCCTCCGACTAGGGCAAACCCAGGGCTATGCACAGTTCTTTGCAGCAGTTGTTGCTCCTTGGTACGCCTGGAATTGGCCTGTCTTGTTCTGTCTTCTTTCTCACCCTCCCATCTGCACTTCTTGTGGTCATCTCCAAGCTCTGCTCACATCCACATCTGTCTCAGTGCTGGACTCTGGAGGCTACACACAGGGCAGGGCCAGTTGGGGCATCTGGTATCGGACTCCTGATCACCTTTGGGCTCATCTCCTCTCCCCTCCCACTAAACCCTGCACCTGTTCCTATAACTGCCTCCGCACACCAAGGCTTCCGGCCACACCATTGGGCAAACTTGTTCCTTCCCTGAGAAATCCAAGATTGCCAGCTTGGCTTTCAAAGACCCTCAAACTGGGCACCAGCTTCCCATCATGCCTTTGGCCCACTTTATTCCACCCTCACATTCTTGTTTCAGCTACATAGTTCTCTTCCTCAAATGTGCCCTTCGCATTTTCTCCCCTCCTCACTCACACACAGATGTTTCCCTGTGCCCCAGAAGGCTTTGGAAATGCTGACTTCCATTACTGCCCTAGCCTCATCCAAACTGCTAACACTGTTTCCACCTTCTGGGAGGTCTCTTTCCCATTCTTGGAATTAGGAGGGAAGACGTGGACTTTGGATTTCAAGTTCTGTTTCTGAACTGTGTTCGACCGTGGCAGTGTACTGAGACCGGCAATGTGGGGCCTTGAGATTTATGCAGTGGGTATGAACATTTATTCAAGGGCACGAACATTCTGTGAGAAAGACTACACGAGAATATCTTGGGATGGTGGCTTTGTAAGGATTTCAGTGACAGTGCACTAACTCTTCTATTCCATAAATTCAGCTGTATACACACGGTATTTTATGGATACGGGTCCAGCTCTACTTTGTTGGCTGTCTGCTGAGAAATATAGTAAAATGCAGGACAGCCTTCCCAGTGATGGATTCCTCTTTAGTGAGAGGCTAGCTCTTGAAAATGTACTTTTATCTATCTCTGTGATAAACTTGAGAAGTTTAGAAAACAAAAATGAAAACTGTTGAGCTGTGTGAGTTTTAAAATCGGGACTTTATAGCGCTCTTGGACGGAGGACCACAAATAAAAGAAAGCTTCTTGACATCAATGTGAGTTGCTACAAAGCAGAGCAAATGTACAAGTATAACCCTGAAATCAGAGGGAAATGGAATTCCTGGTGAATTTTTAGTGAGGAAGGAATGGTGATTTGAAATGCACTGATTTTATCTTCATTTAAAGCGTGAAGCCATGTGATAGGTGGTCACAGGCATGGATTCTGGTGATGAAGGGCTGACTTGAATTTGGCAAGTCCCGGCTCTGTCACCTACTAGCTGTGAGACCCCAGACAAGTGCAATAGCTCTCCTGTCACCTGTGACAAGTGCTTGTCTTGTCACCTGTGTGCCAGACTGTATCTCTTGGTCCTGTTGGGAAAGTCAGCAAGTTAGTACATGAGCAGGTCTTTCAGCAGCGTACAGTAGGTGCCTTATAAATGTTTGCTATTATAATCACAGTGGACCTTTGCATGAGGACCGGGCTGACATACAAAAAAACTTTGGTTATGGCTGGAACTTTAGTTTTAACTTATGAACAAAGTCTTGAGTTATGGCCTGAATGCTGGCTGCTTGTGCTTCCAGATGGTCTCAGATACAGACTGAACCCTTTTGGAAGGAACAGTGCAACATCCTCTCCTGCGTGGAGTTAACTGAGAAATCCTGGGCCAGCGTCTCTCTGAGGACACTGACATCTGCCTGTGTACAGAAGAGAGACTTTGAAGGCTGTGTAGAGGAGCCTGAGCCTTCAATTGACCAACTTGAGTTACAATCAGCCCTTAGGAATGAACTGAGTTCATAAGTCAAGAGTCTACTGTATTGGTTTTACTATTATTGATGCCTATATCAGTAGGAGCATCAGTATATGATGTTTTTAGTGCTTCTTTCTTCTAGTGGTTTTCTTGCTTGAGGGAATCTGAATGTCTTTTCAAATGCTTTTAACTGACAAACAGTGGTGTATATTTATCACGTACAACATGATGTTTGGAATATGAAACATGGCGAGGCGGCTAATGGAGCTAGTTAACACAGGGATTAGCTTGCATACGTATTTTGCTAAATGTCTTTTTTAAAGCTTGGCTCATTTTAGCCCCTGCTTTTTCCCTGGGCTCTTTTGTGGTCACTGAGGGATGCCTTATTGTGTTTCCAATTTTTCTTCTCAGTCACCCATCCTTGTATCATAACAGTGGGTCTGCTCATCCAACAATTACTTATGTGGAGTAAATGATGCCAGAAGAGGATATGCTATGCTGAATACTTTATTTATATCTTGTATGTAAACATAATTTGCTTTGTAGGCACAATATAACAAAAGCTCTAAAGCCACAAACACAGTAGACGATGTTTCAGTTCACTCCAATCAAGCTTAACCTACAGAGAAGCCTTCACAGTTCTTTAAGGCAAACTGAGACATTCTGTACACTTCCTTCAGAAAAACAATCATGAGACAGGGAAGAAGGTGCTTAAAACGAGAGTCCACGGAATGATTCATTGTAAGGTTTCCCCCTTTGTTCTTCATAGCAGAAACTGATGTTGTTGGCCAAACCCTAGGTTTCTCATTCTGAATTCTGAGGATAGGCTGATTGCTGGATGAATGTGTGATTAATGGATTAACTTTTCTGTTTAAAAAGCAGATTTTGGAAGGGATGACCTTGTATCCTTTCCTCTGGGCATCATTAGAACCATCTCAATTCTGAACATGGTCAGTTCCCTTCCCTTGGGGACAGAGGCCATCATGGAGCCAGTAGTTCTTGACTTTTTCAACCCTAGAAAGTGCCCTGTCTGCCCTACTTAATAGGAACATCACTTGGACAGTGGTTCTTTTTCTGACCCCCTTTCAGCACAGTTATGGGAGAAGCATGACCAATAAGATGGCCTCTAACAAAGGTGTTGGGGGCTATCTCTCTGGATGGATATGGGTGAGTTTGAGGGTAGGCAGGAAGAAGGGATGACCTTGTTATCCTCTTCTGAAATACTCTCATTCCTCAGCTCATCAGCTCTCAACACCCTTTCTTGCCTTCATATTGTACACATACATTCACAACAAGGAGAAGAGACTCCCTCCATGTAAATATTTGGCATAAATGAGTCATCATCACAAGCTTAGAAGAGGAAAAAAGAACCTGGTGAATGAAGTGACATTTGTTGCAAAAGGACCGGGGAAATCAAACAGAAAATTGTGGAAATGCATTTGTTTCCATCACTTGGGGGAAGAGTTAGGTCCACCTTAAATCTCATTGGAGGAGAAACTGGGTGATGCTGGAACCCTCTTATGCCTTCAAGAATGCTAATCTCACAAGCATGTGGGGACCCTCTCTTCTATAACACAAAAGTGGGGATGCTAATTCCACGGCCCCCTTTGTGTTTCTAGCTTGGTTTGTGTGACAGAATTAACCCTTTGCACAAAAGGACTGGAAAAAGAAGGGAAGGAAGAGCCCCCTTGTGCAGACACCAAGACTCCTCTTCCTCCAGGGTAACTAGCTCTCAAACCCAGGCAAATGGCACAGGGAGGGGCTTCACAGGGATTTAGGAGCTGCACCATTGAACAGCTCATGCAGTCAAACAGTTTGGTCCCTGATTTGTAAGGAGCAGGAGCCCTACATGATCAGCACCATGGTCTTATGTATCAGAAGGAGAAATCCCACGTTTGGCAGATGCTGAACAGCAACCTTGTATACCTAGAGTTTGTCATATGTTGGAACATGCTTTGGCAAGACAAGAGAGCTCACCGAATTTTCCATATACATGTATGGCCTGTAAGGGAGTTCTTCTTTGGGGGGAAGCTGTCTGCTTGTGACCAGGAATGGAAAATAGGAAAATTGGTAACAATGATGGCAATTTTGCCAACACAGGAGAGTCTTAGTAACGACATCTGAGTTAGTCCTACACATGGGGAGTTTTCTTAGCTTAAAATATATAGGGCTGTGGGGAGGATACGCTCATGGCATGTGGCTTCAGAGGAGAAATCTCTGACTTGTCCTCAGATGCATGCTGTTGACCCATCTTCTATCTCAAGAAACCCACACCTGTCCCCGTGTTTAGGAATAAGGACCAGAGAAAGACTCCAACCCCAGAGGGTCAGAGAAGAGCAGCTCAAACCCCATGGCATTAGGATTATGGGATGAATATAACAAGTTGCCTCGAAAAGGGAGAGAGAAAAAGTACTATTGGGAGAGTTTCTACACTTCTGGGCTCACAGATGCCTCTTCTGGCCTACTCTCTTTCTACCAGCCAAATTGGGAAGTGCTCTGGTTAGAGGTAAAGGTGGCTGGTGGCAAAGAGTATCACTGGCCAGAGGAAGGCTAGGACCTGCAGAGTGCTCTGTGACAACACCTGTCAACCCAAACTCGTCCTTGGTCTTGTCCTGTGGGCTTGTATTGATTTGCAAGGCTGTTCTAGAACCACCGAGAAGGACCGGGAGGTGGATAGTTTTGATCCTGGGGAGAGGGGAGGTTGTAGTACACAGATCAGGAAGGGATGTAATACTGCATGGAATGGGATTGGCACTAAATTCCGAAAAACAACAGTGATCAACAGCTTCTTAGCTCAGCTGACTGCAGACAAACACAACACGCACTGGACTACAGCATTTTTTCACTGGGACACAGAAGAGTTCTCGCAGCCGTCCTCTTCTTCCACAAGGTCCGTCCTTCAGGTCCTCCCGCCTGGCTCCTGGGTTACTGGATGAAGGGCATCCGCTCCTTGTTCTCGCTGTCACCCTCATGGTCCTCCTCCTCTTCTCCCGCTTCACTGGTCTCTGTGCTGTCGTTGGCCATCTGGGATTCAACAGAGGACATTATAGATGGCTCTGCCACCCACCCCCACCCTCTCTGAGCATCTGATGAGGCCCCGTAGGAAGAACGTTCTTGAGAGTTCATTGACAGAGGGGAAACTGCACTCAAGGGCCCCTCTTCACATCTTACCTGCACATTCACCATGAGGAGCGACTCCCTCCACATAAATACTTAGCACAAATACTTCATCATCACAAACTTAGACTAGGAAACCAGGCATCATATGATGGATGAGGTGCTGAGACACTTATCTCTTAGCTGTCTTCTCAGCTCGTGCTGAGCCCCTCATTTCTGGGAGCATTCCTTTGCCCAGGTCCCCTTATCAACCCTGCATTCCCTTCCACCCCAGCCAGGTCTACACCTCATAGAGCTTTGATGCATTTCTTGCGCTGGAGTGAACGGTCTCTCTACTTCTCACTCACCAGCGGAGTGGGGGTCTTTTCTACATCCAGAATTAACTTCCCGATGTTCCCTCGGTCGTGGATCCGCTGCATGGCCTCCTTCACCTGAAAGACGGGAGAAACAGGCGCCGGTTAGGGGGCCCTTCAGCCCGGTGTAGAGGGGGCTCGGGCAAGGCAAAGCGCCGGCTTCCCGCCAGGGGGCGCTGCAGCCCAAGCTTCGGGCCCTAACCAGTGATGTGGGTTGAACTTTGGGGTACAAATAATTCTGGTTGTGCCAGTCACACATTCTGGTCCCGTGCAAGAGTCTCCCAGGTTTAACAAATAAGAGTTATAGATTTCTGAAAAAAGTAGATGAAAATTTCTTCTAAAAAATAGTAAGGGCAAGTTCTCTGGAGTTCCATGACTCAGGGTGGCTGGGACTGTCAGTCACACTAAATTCTGAGCAATAAAAGAAGGCTGTAGGGCACTTGAGCCCTTCTGACTTAAGTGTTACATGACTCTGATTTGTAATTTGGCAAAATAAACTCATTACGCAGGGGTGAACTGCACTCAGGAAAATTTCCATGATTCTTGGTTATTGGGAAGAAAGTTCGTCTCCGTCCAGGAAGAATTCTCTTTCAGAATGAGTATTTTGCCCAGAACAGAGAACTTGAGGTGTTCTTTCCAGTGCTGGTGGCTTATTAGACCAATGGATGTCCCCGGGACCCTCTGAAGAGGAGAGGGAGCGACAATCTATTTGCTTCCAGAGCTTCATTCTGCCGCTGTGCACAGAATGAACGGTAGGGGCGCTGTGATGAGTAAGTCAGACGAGGAAAGGGTTTCCCAGAGCGCAGCTCTTGCCCTGGAGACTTTGTCCTCCACGAATTAGTGTAATCTTCATGGAAAGGCAACTTCTCTAAATTTTTAAAAAAGAAATTTGTGCTGGGTAAGGCGGCACACATCTGTAATCCCAGCATGCTGAGACAGGACGATCGCAAGTTCCAGGCCAGACCGGGCAATTTAACAACTTCGTGAAACCTCGGGGATGTAGCTCAGTGCAAAGGCCCTGGTTTCAACTCCCAGTATCACACACACACACACACACACACACACACACACACACACACACACACACACTATAATCAAGCTAGCCTAAATATTTTTCTTAAAGTTTCACATTTTAAAATATGTTCATTCAGTCCACAAATAGTAAAAGTTACTTCTCGGCTAAATGCCATAATTAAAAAGGAATGAAATGGTAAAATACGGCCCTGCCTGGGAGGAACTCAGCCTGTGGATGATGGAGCAGTGTTTGCTTATACAAAAACCAAACGTTCTACTCGTTTGGATACGAACTTGATAGAACCATTAAAATGTTTGTATACAAATTGCTTTTCTGGGACTTTATTCGAAGACATAATCCAGTTTCGGGGAGGGGATACCACATAAGAGATATGAAATCATTTTGATTTAATGGCAAAACATCAAAACAACATATATGTCACTGAGACAGGAGATGGTTAAATAAACAACAGCGCTTACATTTGTCTACTGAATGGAAATATTGTGTAGCTGCTGAAGAATAAAAAGATATATGCAACTAATTAGAAGACTACACAGCAGGATTAAATGCTTTTTGTAATATTGCTAAATGAGAAAACCGACACACATTTTTATTTACATCTGTATAAAACATGGCCATTCTAAAATAAGTAGAAAGGGATACATATATACATATATATGCAAATGTAGGGAAGTGGGTGCCTTCTAAGTCTAGTGTCCAAATATTGTTTGGCATAGTGTCATCAAATTAATATTTTAAATTAAATGCATTTTTAAATGCAGCCTTCAGATAATTTAGTACTGGTTAGAATCAACCTGTTTTGTAGACTGGTAGTGTCCATGATTACTAAATTTTCTGACCCTATTATAAAATGCAGTACCTTCCTTGTATTTCTGTGATGACATTACTTTTTGAAGTTCTTTCACAGCTGGTTGTAACAATGGCTACCAGCACTGTCCCTGGGTATTTATGGAGGACTAGTTTTGGAATGCTCATCACTACCAAGATCTGTGAATGCTCAAGTCCCTTATATACAATAACATAGTAGGTAAGAGGTGTGATTAAAAATACAGTGAATGCTTACTTTTGTGTGTGTGTGTGTGTGGTACCAGGGATCAAACTCAGGACCTTTCGCTTCCCAGGCAGGGATGGCGCCACTGAGCTAGATCCCTGGCCCAACTTTTAAAAAAATTATTACAGTAAAAGGCACATTGCCCCTGGTCCCTCTCGCTTTGAACACACTCATCCCGTCATTTTTGCCACTTTCTGAAGCAGTGCTGGAACTCCTCTTTCATGAGTGTCTTTAGTTGCATTGTGGTGGCTGCCTCAGTGTCCTGAACGGATTCAAAATGTTTCCCACTCACGGTTATCTTGACTCTGGGGAGGAGCCAGAATTCACTCAGTGCCAGATCTGGAGAATAAGGTGGATGAGGGCGCACAGCGGTGTTTTTCTGAGCCTGCTTTTCTATTGGATGGCACTCCGCAGCAGTCTTCACTTAAATTTAGTCCCACCTTCATAGGGACTTCACTTGCTTCCAACCGACGGAGCAGAGGAAAAGTGCTGGGATGTCACTTTCAAGGGCAGGCTATAAAGGCTGTGACTTCCACGTCATAGTCTCTCTGACACCCTCCCTTCCTCACCCTGACGCTCCATGCTGCCTCCAGCCAGCAGTCGCCAGGGAATGGAGACCTTCAGCTCAAGGTCTCTGAGGAACTGCATGCTGCCGACCACCCCGCGACCGCATGGCAGTGTATGCCAGTGGAATCTACATGAGACCATGGCCCCACCTGCTGCCTCAGCTGTAGCCTCTTGAGAGCCAAAGATCCTGGCTAAGATTCTTCCCTCACAGAACCTAGGAGATCACATCTGCCGGTGTGAGCCAGCATGATTTGGGAATAAGTGCAGTAACAGATATTTCATATATTGTCCCCCTGCATGCACCATTCTTAGCTTACATGATCTATTACGCCCATTTTACAGGTAAGTACCCAGATGCTAAGAAAATATAAGCGATTTGCTGTATGGCTTAGTTATTGGTGACAGAACTGTGGTTCAGAGTGAGGTATCCCAATCTCAGAGGCAGAGCCTTTTCCCAGTTCCACCCAGACTAAGCTGCTTCATTTGCTTCTCAGAGGCAGAGGGAGATAGTGGTTCGTAATGGCTCACACAATAGCTCCCCTGAATTCGGCTGTTTACCTCCCTGGCAAAATCATGACACACCTGGAAACTCCTTGGAGATTAGGAACAGTTTTTAAGCTACTTCTCTAATAAGACAGAGCCCAGGGAGACAGAAAAGCTGTTTTCTCATCAGTTAAAGCTTATTGTGATGCTAGAGAAAAAAGCCCCCCACAGGGCTGCCTCTAATCTGCATGTTTTGGGACACATCTTTCTGAAATGAATGGGCTCCTTGAAGTCTCATATGTGGAAGATGGATAAAGGGCTAAGAGATCATTTAATTTGTGTGATCCACAGACACACTGTTAGAATTTCCATCTTCTAACCCTGCTCTCAGAGACAGACAGGAACAGTTCTGACGACAACTTAGAAGGAAAGAAATTGCCATTTTTGATCAATTCTTTATCAGACACAGCATGTGATATTTACATGTGTTGCTTCATTTTTTTTTTCTGCACACCAAGCTTCTTAGGTGAGTGTTTGTGTCTGCTTTTCACAGATGAGAAATCCAAAGATGAAACACACCAGGGGCCTGCTCTGGCGCTATCTGAATGGAGGTGCAGCCACATGGGGAATGGAAAAGCTCAGGGTCGCCCCTTCAGAATTCTGGACACATCTCAGAAGGGGCTCTCCAGGCAGGTGCTGCGCCGCTCAACTACATCCTGTCAGACCCCCCAAATTTAAAGACCCAATCCAAAAATGGGCATCTGAAATGAACAGACATTTCTCAGTTGAAGAAGTAGGCCCAGAAAATAAACATACAAAAAAATGTTCAACATCACTGGTCATTTGAGAGATGCAGATGAGAAAACACTGAGATTCCACCTCACCCCAGAAAGAATGGCTGCTATCAAGAAATCAACCAATAACAAATGCTGGCGAGGGTGCGGGGAGAAAGGAACCCTTCTCCATTGTTGGTGGGAGTGCAGACTGGTGCAACCACTGTGGAAATCAGTATGGAGATACTTCAAAGAACTAGGGCTAGAGGTCCCATTTGACCCAGCTATTCCCCTGCTGGTTATCTTTCCAAAAGATTTAAGAGCATCATACCACAGCGATATATGCTCACCCATGTTTATAGCAGCAGTTTGTAATAGCTAAAGCTTGGAAATAGCCCAAGTGCCCATGAACTGGAGGTTGGATAAAGATTTAAAAAAATAAATGGAGTACAACTCAGTCATAAAAAATGATAAACTAGAAACATTTATAGCTAAATGAATGCACATTGAGGCCATACTCTTAAGTGAAATAAGTAGGACACTGATGTGTAAATACCCAATAGTTTCTCTGGTGTGAGAAACATCAAGAGTAAATGAGGACCAAAATGTGTAATAGATAATGTAAAATAGGAAGAAAAGCTCCAAAACGGAAGGGGAACTAGGGAGGGAGTGGGTGAAAGGAAAATAGAGAAGGAAAAAATATGAGGAGAAGGAAAAAATGGAAACAAAGTTTTTGTAAATAAGGGGGTGGGGGGTGGAAGGGAAGGAGGGGAAATGGGGAAAAAGCAGGAGCCAAGATACATCATGTACAGGTGCAAATTCCCGAAGATGAATGTGACCATAGTGTAGGCCTAAAATGTACCAACAAACGTAGTGGAATAAAAATCCAAAACAAGAAGAGGCTCTGCTGGGACCCCCCAGGCTGCCCCTCAGGTCACACTCTGCCAGGGCAAAGCCTGCTCCTGCAGACTTTGCTCCCAAGTCACCAATGTACAAGTGGTACCCCGGTGGGTGACATCACCCAGAGAAAGCTCACCGGCCCTGGAGGTTGGGCCTGTCTCCCTGTGGCTGCCGGGGAGATTTTGCTAAAGCACACTTCTGCTTACAACCTCTTCCTATTGCCCTGGAGGGAAACGTCCAGCAGAACCACGCCACCTGATCCCATGGC